TTTATCCAGGACATGAGAGGCCTGATGAAGGTGCCTTTTTTTTTTCCAGCATGAAAGAACTCTCTGGTTATATGTACATATGTACATCATTCATTGTATAACACATATGGCCACATACTTTTTCTTCCAGATTCAAATTGTGTCTCTTAGTCTTGTTTACTAACCTCCACCTCTCTGACATGTTTGTTTTCTGTGACATCATCAAAGCATGCTCCCTAAGTTCACACTTCTTTCACTGTACTGAGACTGTGAAGAGAAGCAAAAGTCATAAGTAGATGAAAATATTTATTAATGATATGACCACTTACAAATTAGTTACCCGTTCAAACATCTTTTAAACGTTAGACTCCCCTTCTCCACTCCCCATGGTAGTAAACATTTATAATCCAATGCAAATAAATTCAGTTCTATTGCAAAGTGAAATTGCAAATCTTGCAAAAGGTGTAAGGTTTCATGGTATCAGTGAGAGTGAAGTTGGTAAAGCAACTGGCAAATGAGGGTCTATAGAGTTAAACAAAGAAGTGAAAGTAAAATCAACAAGGATGATGACTATATTGATGCTTCAGAAGAAGAGAAGAAAATACTTTGAAAATTAAAAAAACAAATGAGACCCCTGGGAAAACTGATGAAGCCCTCAACATTACCAAAAATGTTGGCAAATGAGACCCCTGGGAAAACTGATGAAGCCCTCAACATTACCAAAAATGTTGGTAAACATTTTTACCAAACAACCCTCTTTTTGAAAAAAAATTAAAAGTCAAATACGAAATAGAGCATGTTGTAAGGTGCTTCACATTTGTTAAAAAAAATAAGCCAACAATAATCTTCTTGGTTTATTGTTTATTCATTCCATAATTAGCACATAGTTGGACTTACAACATAAATTTTGTTCCATAAAAGATAGACTAAATGTATTTTAATAACATTGAGTTTTATTTTCAAATAAAGTCCACTTTTCACCAATTGCTCTGAAATTTAGTCCCTGTTTTAAATAGATTTATTTTAAGGAGGCTTTAACAGTGCTAATCACACAATGCTAATCAGGACTTCCTGTACTAATGAATCAGACTTTTCTAGTAGAAACAGTCTGATGTCTTGGTTGTGTCTATTTACATATTACATTTTTACTATGTTGTTCATAAAATAGTTCCATTTCTTAGTTTTGCCAGGGGAGGAGGTGTTAGCATCATTTACTCTTAGGTATTTCCTATGGGATAACTTCCAAAGGGTGATATTAAAAGTAATATTAGTGTCTCATAAGGTAACATATACAGAGGACACAGACTTTGGAGTCATCTTGGATTCAGACTTATATTTGAATCTGCTTCTGCCACTTAACAGACTTACGGTAATGGGCAAATTGTGTGCCCTCTCTGAACTTTGATACCTTTATCTGTGAAAATGGAGCAATGATCGCTCTGTCACAAGATTGTGGTGAAGACCAGATAAGAATATGTATAAAATGTCAGGTACAGAGAAGGCATTTAATATGTGGCACTTAAAGCCATGCTGTTTATTTTTGGTTTGTCTGACTGCCAAATTTCCCTTGTGATCTTAATTTGTTGATTATTTTGTACATTCAGATTCTTTGCATGTGTTTTGCAGTGAGAACCTAGGGTCTTTAGGCTATCAAAAGTAGCTAAATATGACTGATATTGAAAATGTGACTTTAGGAGTGCCTCGTTGCATAAATCTCTTAGAAAGAATTCTAAAATATTCTATAAAGCTTTGAAAAACGTCGAAATGAGGTCTTCAGGATTTATATTGTAAGATTTTGGTTGAGTTCTTCTTTAAGTTGGATGAATGACATTTACATGGAGAAAAACCTCAAAGGAAGCCCCCCTTTTCCACACCCTAACATCTTTATAAACAAATCTTGACTTAAAACAAGAAACTTAAAGGCTTTCCCCACACAGAGATCCCCATGCAAAGCACAGTCTTGAAAGTCACATGCTTCTGGATTTAAACCCCTGCTCAGCTGCTTCCTAGTTGTGTGACCTTGACCAACTTAATATTTCTAAGCCTGGGTATTCTCATCCATAAAGCTGGAGGTAACAAAAGTACCTACCTCAGGTTGTCATGAGGGTGAAATGAGACATTGCATATAAAAAAAGTTTATGTGCCCATACAGCCTGGCACACTGGAAGTGTTTAACTAGTTAACTATTATCTGTAAAGTCTTCAAACTTACAAGTTAACAAGAATGTCATATTTTGGGCGCCTGGGTGGCTCAGTTGGTTAAGCAACTGCCTTCGGCTCAGGTCATGATCCTGGAGTCCCAGGATCAAGTCCCACATCAGGCTCCCTGCTCAGCAGGGAGTCTGCTTCTCCCTCTGACCCTCTTCCCTCTCATGCTCTCTCTCTCTCATTCTCTCTCTCTCAAATAAATAAAATCTTTAAAAAAAATGTCATATTTTGTTCAAAAATGGTAATGGTGTAACACAAAAAACAGAAATTAAGTTCACTTGAGTTCAAACATCAAATTATATGCTTTGGCTTTGCCTTGCCTTCTGCCTCTTGAGTTCCCTATGTTTAAGTTCCTTTCCTTCCCCTATTCACTCAAGAACTTGTTTTCTAACCCAGGGCTTTTCAATGGTCTCTTCCCCATCCCCCCTTACCCCCTCCTCCCACACAATAGGAACATTACATTTGTAATACTTATTACAAATTGGCAAATGGCTTCTACCTCTCCTCTTCCTCTAAGACTCTGGTATGTCCCCCCAGAGGGTCTGATTAGCTCAGATATATTATTTAGTTTACTTAGCTAAAACCAGGAGATAATGATGGCTAACATTTAGTATCTACCTAATAGACCCATATACAATGCTGGGTGAGTTACAAATGTTACTTTGATTCTTCATAACAACCAGGCAAGGCAGATACCACTCTTTATATTTCTGAGATGGATAATTAGAGGGTCTGAGCCAATAAGCTCGAAGTCACATGGCGAGTAAGCATCAGCACCAGCGACCATAAGGATCAAGTTAATGCATTAATTGGGATATGATGGTTCTAAGTGGTTTTCTACTTCTGGGAAAGGCCCATCTGGCCTTTCAAAAAGAGGCCTTCTCATACTGGTGCTAACACATATGTGTGCCAGCATGATATCACCTTATTCATGTATGACGTTTAACCTTTTTATACCGTTTATCCCCTAGCACCACAAATGCGTTTACATATTAAATGCACTAACATCTTTGCACATCCCATGCATATAAACTCCAGCAAATATGCCAGTTAGATTCCTACAATGGATGCTGTAGATCTGACCATCAGAATTCCAGACATCACAAAGTAAATAAACTAGACTTTCCTCAAACCCAGTAATTCCTTTTTAATTTCCCCTGGCAAGTACTGATTTCGAATTGTGCTCGTTCTATAAAGCAGAATTTTGCAAATATTATGATATGGAATCCCACATACTCAGAAGGAGGGAAAGCTGAGAAGGGCGATTAAGGTCGATGTGTTTCTTTCATTACGGGCAGAATTAAGTTTCTCATCTGAGTAAGTACCGAATTCTGCAGTCATTCCAAAAATGTAAACTCAGCTCACAGAGCGTAAAAAAAAAAATTGAATGACACTAACCACATAAGGTCAAGCAAACAACTGGTCGACCCTAAAAAAAAAAATAAAAAAGTGCGTTGTGCAGGGTTTTCATATAAGAGATAAGAGTATCTGTCTATGTATTTCTATATGCCAGCTCCAGAGTCCGATCCGGTTCCGCCTCTCACCACCGCAGCTCGGCAGACACTTCTCCCGAAGCCACTTGGGGAGCCTCAGGTTTGAGCCCCCCTCCCTCCCCAGTAACCTGCCGGCTTCTGCCTGCGCCCCGCGTCTACCCGGGCGTCTTCTATTCTCTCTGACTCACACTCCAGCGAAACGTCCCTTTCCGATCAACTCTAACTAGGAGACTGCCTCCCGGCGCGGCCCCCCGCGCGGGGTTCCAGCGCAGGGCTGGTGGGTGGTGGCGCGCACCCGGGCGCTGGCGGGGCGGGGACTGCGCGCCGCGCGCGGGAGGGGGGGCGGGCGCAGGTCGCTCTCTCGGCGCCGCTCCCCTTTGTTCGGTTCCATTGTGTGCCACTTCCTCCTCGGGCGCTTCTTCCTGCGCCCTGGCAGCCTGTGGGCATTTTGTGAAGGGGCTTTTGGTGCGTTTTTCTTTTTTTCTCGGTTTATTTCTTAGTAAGTGAGGCCCTCCTTTGCCCGCCTCTCCTTCCCGGCTCTCCACCCCCGGGCCCCGGAGCGAGGCAGAGTGGGAAGTGTCAGTGCCTCCTCCCCCACCCCCGACGGCGGCTCCGCCGGGCTCCCGCCCCGCTCCTCCTCCAGGAGGCATCCTAACCCCGCAGTCTGGACTTTCACCTCCAGACCGGCCGCGTCACCGCCAGGACGGCGACACGCGACCCCGCCCCTCCGAGGGGCGCAGGCTCCGGGCGCCCGGGGCTCCGCCAGGCACCGGAGTGAGGGTCGGAGGCCGGCGCTCGGCCCAAGCCCGGCCGCCTCGGCGTCCCAGGAGCCGGCGTGAGTGTCGCCGCGGCCCTCCCCGTCCCTCGCGCTCGCGCTCCCCGGCCGCCGCGCAGCCGCCTCAGCCCCCTTATATAGCCCTCTAAAAATAGCTCGCCTCGCACCGCCTTGTAAGGCAGCAGGGAGATCCGCAGTCTGCCAATCCGCGCTCGCCGCCAGAGCCAAGCCCCGCCCCGGGCCCCGCTCCGCGCTCCCCATTGGTCCTCAGTGACTTCATGAGCCCCCTGTTTACCTTACATGGTCACACGCGGCCTAATGGACGCCCTCCTCCGAGATCCCACGGCTGCGCGGGGGGGGGGGCCGAGGGGGGTGTTTGGGGAGGGGGAAGAGCAGGAGGAGGAGAAAAGGAGGGGGGGAGAGACTACAAACTAGCAAGGATGGGGTGGGGGGTGGGGAGGGAAGGGAAGGGGGGAGAGAAGCGATCGCGAGAAAAAAAAATGCAACCTCCCAAAATAAAGAGCAAAGATTGCATTAGGAGCGAACAGCGCTGCAGAAATAGATGGCAGCTTCGTGTCAGTGAGTTTGCATCCCCCTTCCTGATCCACGAGCTGGAGTGATTAGAGCCCTGGAAGGGAATTGTTACTCCCGTGGAGACCCCCCCTTTTCCTGGCAGCCGTCTGCACTTGTACATGCTGGATGCCTCTCTCCATCCACCCCACTCACTCTCTCCTCTCTCACCTCCTCTCTTCCTCTCTCCTGCATTGATTTTTTTTTTCCTTTTTAGTTGACTGAAAAAAACAAAACAAAACAAAAGGGCCACTGGATGTCTGCCTTCTTGGGGGGTGAGCCAGACAGACTGACAAACAAACAGACCCAACTGTGTTCGGGGGAGGGTTTCTCCTCCCGTTTTGCCCGGCAGCAGCAGCATGGACGTGTTGGCTAGTTATAGTATATTCCAGGAGCTACAACTTGTCCACGACACCGGCTACTTCTCAGCTTTGCCATCCCTGGAGGAGACCTGGCAGCAGGTGAATGATTTAAATTACTTGTGTAAATCGTGTGGTGGCGGCGGAGACGCGGTGGCTGCGTTGGTGTGGGCTTGGGGTTGAATTTTTTGTTTGTTTGTCTTATTCCCCCCCCCTTTTTTTTGGCTGTTTGTTGTTTAAAATGTTTTCGGAAACAGTCATCTGCGCTTACCTCTCCACCCACCCTCTAACCCCTTAGTGTGCTGAGCTGAGCAGCCGGTCTGAGCTGCCTGCGTTTCAGTCACCAACACACATCCTTGCGCACACGTTGTCGGGCTCACTGTCCCCAGCACAGACCTGCGTAACTTCTGGGGTTCGGGGGAACCGGGTGGGAAGGTGGTTTGGGGCTTTATGAGCTATTGATGACAGGATACTGCGTCCCTACATGCCCGAGCTCTACCTACTTGGTATCTTAAATCAGGTTCAGTTCTTTCAGCTGGTGCTGAAGACCGTCAGATGGGGGTCAGGAGGTAGGAGCATAGTGGAGTGTTTTCTCAGTAACTAGCGAGTGACAATAAAAGATAGAAACTTGATTTTGAGGTGAGAAGGTGGGCAGAAGGGAGAGGAGCCCAGTGACAAAAGATACTCAAGGATATCTAGGAGGAGGAAGGGAAGATGTATCTATCTAACGCTGACCATGCGTTGTAGATTTCCCCAGTGCAATGCCTCTATATGTGTCCGTGTTTCTCTTTTTTGTTTGGGGTCCCTCCCTGGTTAGAAGGCACACAGCCTCTGACAAAGGGTGGTGTGTGCTTCCATGCCTCTGACTTTGTCTTAGAGGACTAGTTAAGAAACTCCTATGATGCTGAAGGGCACTGATGCCAAGTTGGCTAGGCGTCCCACTGAGGGCAAAGTGGGTCTGGTGGCAAGTTCAGTGGGCTTTATGAAGTGGAATAAAGAAAGTGCTGGTCAGTGGAAAGTGTTAGATCTGCTGCGGAAACAGTCGTTTTCTCAGCAAGGGTTAGGAACTGCTGAAGGGACACACTGCAGGAAAGATGGTGGGTGGGGGGCAGGGGGGTATGGGTATTCTTTAAAAATACTCCAGTGTGCACCATGGAACGTCCAAGAAGACAGTCTGGATTTGCACATCAGAAGTGTGAACTCGCACAGTCCGTCTTGAAGAAACCAGCCTGCCCTTGGGGAGGACTGCGAGAGGCTTGGTGTGTGGCTGCTCATGTAACTTCGCTCAGTGACAGCAGCTTGTTAAGGCTAATGAACGGCTGAATTTCTTCTGCCAGGATCCAAAGCGGGATTTGCCAGCTTGAGGCTGGGATGTAACAGTTGCTGCTTTAGCGAGTGAGGTTTGGCTTTGGGTATAGGGAGCAGAGTGGCAAAGCTGATCCTCTGACTGTACCTTTGTTACTAGTTGCTCTTCTTCCCTGATTAGAGGCGGTGAGTTTTCCTCCAGGTGCTGGCCTCTGCTGTCTGTGTGGCCATCATCCGTTGCTGCCCAAGGATGCTGGCAGAGACCCTCGACTTTGTCTCTGAGTGCACACATAGTTCATGCATTCTTAGTGCAAGGCATTTCTTCAGTGCATCCTTTCCCCATCCCTAATGAGACTGTCTCATGAAGGGTCTCACTAGATCTTTTCCTTCTTTTATTTCACATGCTAATGAAGCCAAAATGTTGCTAGAATTTCATTTTCTGAAATAGCTTTCATTTCACATTGTCAGCCCACTGGTGTCAAACTGGTTGCGTATTAACAACTGTCTAGACAGGTTAGGGTAGGGAATCTGTTGATTTAGTCAGCCTGCCCAAGGCAGCCCTTGTTTGTGACTAACTGTTAAACAGTGTTGGAGGGAAGAAAGTTGGCTTTATTTGTTACAGCGTTCCCTCCTGATGAATCACACAACTTTGTTTTGGTTCAAGTTTTCACAGTAGTAAAGCCTGCTTTTGGGGAAGGCCTCCCCAGAGGAAACCTGCTTTTCTAGATCTGGTTAGACCATCCAGAGAGTCTGGATCTGTGAAGAAACATCACTGGTTTGACAATTAGGGATGTATTAGATCTATTGTTTCCTCTGAAGCCTCCTGTGCTTTTCCTTTCCCCTCCTCCTCTCTACTTGCCTCCATCAAGGAACCTCTAGCTCAGTTTCTATCTGCAGGCCAAGGAATCTCAGCCCCCACTTCCCCACACCTCCCTCCTTACTTCTTGCCTTCACCCTCCCCAACTGGCAACTACTCTTACCTTAAAACCCTTTGCCAAGCTATTTGAGAGGCATGCTCAGGGTCCACACTGAAACATAAGTTGTGGGGAAGCACTCCTAAATAAGATATCACTCTAAGGAGCTTTCTGCTCCGGGCTCTGTAGTCACAACTGCGCTCTTGAAAGGTGACTGAGACTCTAAGTTCATGCTGATGACAAAACCTCCAACCTCCATCTCTTCCTTCCTCTCCCCGCCCCCCGCTTCTGAGTGTAAGGAGGGGGGATGGTTATATGCAACTGACAGGACCAAATCAACCATCAGATGGTGAAATTTTGAGACTCCTTTGCTCAAAATGGCTTAAGATTGCTACAAAGAACCCCCAGATAGGAGGAAGTTTCCTGATGCTCTGGGGTAATCAGATTTTAGAGGTCAGATGAGGAGCAATTATTAGATGTTCTCTGAAAGTGAACAGTGTACCTGGCCTTGAGGAGATGAGCAAAATACAGAGATTCCAATAATCTGATTTGGTTTGTAGAGAAAGAGTGGCTTGGATGATAAACCCAAGAACATCTGTGCATTTGAAAATTAAGGATGGACTCTTTGGGGATTTTATTTTAAACTGTGGCCTGGGGTAATTGTCCTGCGTAACAGTCAGTGAGCTTGGGATGGTCCTCCTGTCACGGGGGTCATCATTTTGACATTGGGCTTTCAGGCAGTGACTTCTTTCGCAACATACAGCTCCAACTCTGAAAACCATTGCCGATGTAATTTTAAAATCCAGATGGACATCTTACATTAACAGCTCTCCATTCCTGGGCTCTGACTGCATACTTAAGCCCTTGGCCAAAGTAACATCATCTCTGCCTGTCATATAACTGTAAATTACACTGTGCTTATGTGGTCTATTATTTTATGAAATTCAGCTGACGCACAACTCTTAAGGCTACCAGCCTTAAGTTCTTCGGAAACTTGCAGGAAATTTTCCAAGAGCTGTCTGAGCAAAAGTAGGAAAAAGTCAAAGGTAGGACAAAAGCTGGAGTAGTTTATAGGGTGCCGCTTGATGATGGATAAAGGGAAACACATTCATGAGTTTTGTTGCCAGTAGAAATTGTGATTTTTCTGGACCCACTGCTGACTTGGAAAATAAAAAGGATTTGATATGATACCCTTGGTTGTTTTTCTCCAAGAAGCTACAAAGACTTTTAGAATTTCGATAGATTTTGTATACCTAGTCTGTTCTTTTCACGAGTGCAGGTCAAGTAATGAAGTTCTGAGTCTTATTTGCACTCAGCTTTGCTTCATGCCATTGAGGAGCATGGTATGTTTACTTGAAAACTCTTACGGAATTATGCTTGTTGTTAATGCTGATTCATAATTGGCAGATGGGGTCAGTTTCAGGCCTCCTTTTTGCTCAGAGAAAATTTTCCACTGCTACTGGAAACAAATAAATAAATCATAGAACATTCCTCCCTCCTCCCCCATTCCCCCATTGTTTTAAACTAATGGCATACTTGGCTACTGTACGAACTAAAGTGTCCCCATAACACTGCAATTTCATCTTGGTTTCAGGCACCCTGGAACGCTTTTTACAAGGGCCTTTGATATGAGGCATCTCTAGGGGACAACCTACAAAAATGGTTGCCTTCCAAGAACAGCCTCATGACACAAGGGATGGGATTTGTTCTGTGAGCTACATTGCTTCTTCCTCTTTATGGTCACCTTGCCTTTGCACTGCCTTCTATAGGCCTGAGCAGCCAGGTGCTGTCTCAGCCAGAAAGACAAAGCAAACTGTAGGGTCCCTGCATCTGCAGGTTTGCCTCTGTCCCCAATTTGCAGAAAACCTTGTCATGAATTAGAATTTCTTGGCAACAGCACCACCCAGGGAAATTTGTAGACACAAAGGAGCCTTGCTAACCACACTGAAAGGATAAATTTTTTTTTTTTTTTTTTTTTTTGTATGTTATTTGTGTGCTCTTCAGGTACCATAAATCTTTTTTTTTATTTGAAACAATGACTTGGTAGATGAAAAAAAAAAGGACTGTCCCGTTATTCAGATTTTCTATATAAAGATGCAATCACTAAATAAATGTAGCTTTACAAATGAGAGCACATGTGAGTGCAATCAATCACACACTTAGCCTTTCTTTAATAGACTCGTTTCCATGTTCTTTTTAATAGATACATCTTTTTGTAGATTTAGGGGCTCACAAACATTATCATTCCGTCTACCTGTTTGCAGTTCGGTATTTTAAAGTGAGTGAATGTTACTCTGCAGATATTTCTACTACATCTGTCTTTCGTGGGGGGATAAAGGAAGTGGTGACTTCTTTGTTCTCCATGAAACTCCCACCCCCCCCACTCCTTACCCTGAGGAGAATGTGATGTTGGGGTCCAATCCATTTAAAGGGCAGAGCAGAAGATGCACTGTGACAGCCTCACCCTGAAATGATTTATGTTATGGGTATGTCAGAGACCTTCAGTGCTCCGATGTGGGCTCTTCCTCTCTTCCAGCCCATTCTAAATATAAATACCAGTGGGGGCTATTTGCCTCTCCGCTTAAATGGGAAGAGTTTAGAGAGGGTCCTAATGGGGCTTTTAGTAGCCGCTCTTATAAATCTTCAGATTCTTCTCCCTTCAGAGGATTCCTGATTTTAACTTTTTGAGTACAAGAAGGCATTGCAGTCTTCTTGAATCACTCCGTGCCCATTGAGCAAAGAAGGGTACAGTTTACTCTGGCCAGCCCCCACTGGCTCATGTTGATGGAAAAGCTGATGCCCCCTATCTCTGCAGTTTGTAGTCGTGTGCGAGGGTTTTTTTTTTTTTTTTCTTTTCCTCCCCTTTGCTGGACCCTGTGACTG